CTGCTGAAGCACAGCATGTCCGCGACTCCCAACGTTTTTCTGTCTGGTTTGAGGAGAGGTTTTTCTTTTAATTAACCTTTCAGGAAGTCTGCAGATATAAATGCACATGCCTGCTATTGGATTAGAAAGTCAAAATAATTCGAATATGAGAAAGCAAAAAAAATGACGCTGCAAAAACAAAATGAATCATTTTTCTTCCTGACTTCAATTTCTGTTCCTTAAATACTTGGTTGTTCTAGGGACTTGTTTCAAAGATGAAATTTGGGCATGTCCTGCATGGCAGTGCTGAGCTGAGCCCCAGGAAGGTGCTAAGACGTGTGCTGCCCCGGCTGGGCCTCCCCTCGCGAGGGCACAGGACAGCGGCCTGAGCAGAGAAACCGGGCTCTGTCCCATAGCTTGCGTCTCATCTCACGGCCAGACCTCCCTCCCATTCTGCATTTCAGCTGGGTTTTCTGCTAGCGCATGGCCAAACCCTGGCCTGACACATGTGCAATTGTTACTGGTTTCAAAATTAATTATGTTTAAGAACATTCGGCCTCCACAAAAATCACAGGCTTAGAAGCAGCGAAGAGACCCTGGGCTGGGCAGGGCAGGGCTGAGGCGGCTGCAAAGCCCTGGGTGGCCTAGGCCCCAGCGGTCCTGAAGCAGAGGGTTAGAGCCCCGTCTGCTGTAGCTTCCGAACTGACACCCAGCCTGCCTTTCTCCAGTCAAAGTATTCCAGGCCCGAAATGTCCCTGGGTGGGAGCATGTTCATTTTAGATCTTTTCTCCTTGAGTCATGGAGTAAGATGAACATGCAGACAGGCCCGAGGAACGTTTCCACAGGCCAGGGCATGCGGCTGCTGCTCCACTCACCTGCCACTGTGCAGCTCCCAGAGCCAGGCCAGGGCCCAATGGTGCCGACGGTGGAGCTGGGGCTTGTTTTGTGTGAAACAGAGCAGGAGTCATGGATGCAGTGGCATTCCGGGTACAGGGCGGAGCCTGCAGCAACCATGTGGGCGTGGCGGGGCTCTGCTCTTCACCGTCAGGGGCTCAGGCTCCTGTGCACCGACCGCCTGGGGTCTTGTCCTGGTGCGCGTGTGGCTCAGGGCCTGGGGGCCCAAGACTCTGCATTTCCAGCTGATGCCAGCGCTCCCAGAGCCCTCCCGGGTGGGGCCAGGAGCCTCAGTCTCAGAAGTCCACCCGGCCTGGTCACTGACAGCTGAGCCACCCTGGACAAAGCCCCGACCTCAGCACGGGCGGCTGGGCGGGTGCCGCTGCCAACCTGTGGGCCTGAAATGTCACCTCCTGTCACCATGCGGACCTTTTCTCTGCTGGGGCAGGGGACACAGGAATGGGGCCTCCCTCGTATCAGGGCCAGTGAGGGGGTAGAGCCGGAGCTTTCTCCTGTGGTCAGAGACGGCCACGGGGGCAGCGGGACACGAGAGGTCTCCTGTTATGTATGCATAGCACAGTTCTGAGGAAAGGGCCCTTGGCTAAATTTAGCCCTGGCGCTGTTTGCATTCCAGCCCTCCATGCGCCAGGCAGACACATTTCTTCCACGCTATGCCATAGCCCTAAAATACGCCGCGCTCTCCTCTCAGCTCCATCCCGCAGCCTGCGGCCTCCCCGTGCCCACAGCAGAGAGGGCGCAGCTTACACTGCCCCCTTTACCCACTAAGCAGCCCCGGCCACTGCCCTCCAGAGTCGAGGGAGCAGACCCACACAGTCCTGCCTCTGCCCAGCAGCTGCCCCGGCGCTGCCTGCAGGAGCCTGGGATGGCAGGGCCTGTGTCTGCTCAGGTTGCTCCCCGAGCAGCCTCGCGTGGGGCTGCCAGCGGGCACCGCCTTCGTGGCACCCCATGGTCAGGAGGTGCAGGGAGCTGCTGGGGCAGCCCCTGGCCACAGAGTGTGAGGTCTGGGATCCCAGGTCCCTCGAGTACTGGTGTCCTCTCCTGTATGAACCCTCTCGTTGCAATTTCCTCCTTCTCAGAAACAGACATTTGTTACTTTTGTATTTAAACAAAACCAATTTTTAAATCCTTGAAAAAAAAGCCACTTCCATTTACCTGGTTTCTCAAGCAGCCCCGGACTTTGCCAGACACACCCGCCACATTTCCTCTGCCATGTAACTGGGCCCAAGCACAGGCAGCGGTGAGGACAGCCCGGTCGTTCCTTGGCCGAGTCTGCTTTCCACAGCTCCTCCCTCCCCTCGCCACGGGAGCGCCCAGGTCCAGGGCAGCTGA